AAGAGAGATTAGACCTGGAGTTAGTAACCACTCAGTTCTGTTTCTCACACCTCCCAGTCATCAGAGCAGAGGGTGTCTAACCTTATATATTCAGATGAGGTTAATTTGAACAAGACTCTGTCACTGTTTTTGAGGTTTCTCTTTTTGAAAAAGGAATTGTCTTTTTCCTTTAAGAGACGACATATTTCAAACTAATGAAATATTGTGTGCAAAATACATAATAGAGTTCATTTCTTGAATACTAAAATTGTTTCTCACAATCAATATTACACTGTTCTGAAATGCAGCAGGCTGTCAAAATCTAACAATTATGTGAAAATAAGTCCATCTTTGGAACCAGATTTTAATCTTGAACTCTTATATATTATTTCCTACTTTTTTGCCTTTTTTAAAATTTTAGTTGATTTTTTTTCCCATACACTATATTTGATTAGTGTGATCAAAATATTTCCTACTTTGGATCTAATTTCTTTTCACACAAGTGGATCAATAAAATTTAAGGTATCTAAATTAGAAGGAAAATACAGTCATATAAATACTCTATGAATGCATGCAAAAGTAAACATATTTTATTAATTAATATTCTGTAACAAAATATGTAAGCTAGTTAGTTGAGAAACACTTTCTTGATAGTGAATGAATTATATGTGTTCTTGAACAGTTATCACCACTGTATAATTACTGAGTTACAAGAAAAATTGATGAATGTGGCATAGTGATTTAAAAATATTTCACAAAGTATCTATTCTCTAACTTTCTCATATTAGCTTTGAGAGTTCAGATGCCATCACAATGTTTAGGTTTGTTCAGATGTCATAATTTTCCCCATCAGCAGTCTATTTTGTATATTTCCTTTTAGTATCTCAGTTACATTGAATGGTATTAACAGATGTAAAGAAAGCAGTAAGCAACCATTTTCATAAGGTTATGGTTAGCAGGTAATTTAAGAGATATCAATTTGCTTCTCTGTTGTTTTCAAGCTAATTTCCAGCTTTGATCTCTTTTGTAGAGTGGTTGAGTTAATAAATGAATATATAAGTACAATGTATATTAGAGATGGTGGCTTCTAATGTGTAACATTTACATAATGAGAACAATCTTCTACAAAGGAAACTTTTCTATTTGACTAATATTTATACTAATTAAACTCATTTTGGAAAACAAAAGTACAATTTAATTATTATTAATTTTAAATTATCTACTATTATAAATACTATCATTCTATTAATTCACTATGATTTATTTTTCTAAATCTATTCATTTTCAGCAAAATCAGATTTAGATGTGACATCAACAGAAAATCAAAAAACCCACAGTGATAGTACAACTAATTTGCCATTGGTATGTAATTATTTGAATTTTGAATTGTACATTTAATGCTGAGTTTTTGTGTGTATACATGCATATGTTCAAGTGTTTGTGTACCTGCATATGCCTGTGTGCACTGGCTAGTGTAGGCTTGAGATCAGTGTTACATGTCTTCCTCCATCACTCCTCACACTGTTAGGACAGATTCCTTCACAGAACCTGGCTGGCTGGCCCAAGATCCACTGATGCCTTCTCTTTCCATAGTGCTGTGCAATAAAGTGCCTGACTTTTTATGTGAGTCTTTGGGGCTTCAGTTCAGGTCTTTGTGCTCACAAAACCAATCTGCTGAGCCATCTCCCCACCTTTGTACTGTCCTTTTGAAAATTATTGATAAAGCAAGGCATGTGGAATTACATTTCAGGATACCTTATGGGATAATTGATCATAATTTAGTTTTTAATTATAAAACATTTTAACCTTCTGCCGTTCTCACAGGACCCTTAGAATATATTTGATTTCAGAGCTGAATATCAGTCTTTATTTTTTAAAAAAATTAAAGCCATACTTTATGTGTAGCAATATAGTTTCCGTGTTGAATAACACTGTAATAGAATGATCTGATGCAGTCATAAAAAGAAAAAGAAAAAAATTAGATTACAAAATTCTTACCCCAAAACAAAGATATTGTTTTTAAATCACTTTTTCTAAGTGAGTCACTGTGTCAAATGTCCTCAGACCAGTCGAGCTGATTCCTGGTGTGCTAATAGTCAATGGGATGAAAAAGAGAGCCCGGTTTTCACAATGATGTGCAAAGAAATAACATACATTAGATTCTTTTGCAGAATCCAAAATGGCCCTTTCTACTTGAGTTGAACTTCTGAATCTACCACTGAGAAAACAAAGCCCAACAAAGAGAAGACAAGCCCAAAACAAACACCCGCTTCGCCTTGACAGAGTTGATTTTAACACAGAAGCTCACTGTCCTCTCTCAGGAATCTTGTGTCCCTTGCCTACATGTGCCTCTTTTCATCACTCAACATTATCCTTTCTAGGTGTCCTTTCTAAATACTTAGGCTTTATCCACATGTATCCCTTTGTACATATCTGCATGTGTACATTATAGGCTAGAATCTGCACATGGAAGACATATAGTTCTTTCTTTTTCTCCTTTGGGTCACTTCACTTAATATTCCAGTTTCCAGAGCCATCCATTATCCTGCAGATTTACTGGTTTCACTTTTCACCAAGTGGATGACTTAAAAGTTGATAATCTTCAATGGTTCTCAGATTTAAAGGTTGAAGTCTTACATGCAATCTGTAGTACACTTCACTCTGTCCGTTGAGGAAGAAAAAAATTGAATTCATAAAATCAATGGCAGTTAGAAAATTAATAACCTGTTAAAGAATGGCTGCTTTTAGAGAGGGGCATTTGGTGTTAGGGTATAAATAATAGCTTTCAAACTTACTTTATTTTCAACAGAATAAATCAGAAAATATTATCAATGGTATCACATAATGTCTTTATTGGCTAGTTCATGAACTAGTTTATAGTAGTTCTTGTTGAAACATAACACTGTGGTTTCTCACCTATAGACAATTTTATGCAGACATAGGCTGTAGATATATTCTCATTGACTTTGAAGTATACCTGCTGATTCTGTGAATGTCTGGGATTTGGATGTTTCTGATGTTGAGTGGGTACTGTATGATAGGAAGCTGAACACTGAATGTTCCAGACATGGGCACGTGGCACACTGACAGGAGAGAAAAAAGTAAGGCAAGCTTGGAGTCAGGGTGCATCATTCACACAAAAAATAGGTTTATATGAAGAATATAGACATTAGTAGCCATAATAAATCAGAAGTGGAAGTGGAATTCTCTAGTCAGAGTAAATTGCTGTCTGAGATATTGAAGCTGTACCAGTTTTTTAAACACCCTTCTTTTATTTTCTTCTTTTAAAATAAGCTCACATATGTACATAGTCTTTATATTAATTTCATCACATTATGTTTAAGCATTTTCCACAGAAGGAGGAGACTGATGATTTAACTGGAAGTGCATGTCTACAAGGACATAATACAGCAATTGGACAAATAAAAGGTAGAACTATGTTTTCTCAAAAGCCATTTGAAAGGATACTTGAACCACGTGGATAAATATATACTACTCTCCAAAGATATGTGGCTATTAGAGAAATGAAAAAGAAGAGCTAATGATATAAGAATAGTAATTCTCCATACAAGTGCTGCATATGAGAATGCCACTGATCCAGCTGAGTCATTAAATAAAATTTTAAGTGTTCCAGGATTGAAGAATATGAAGCATAGTGAAGAGGAGAAAATGGGGGAAAGAATGATCAAGCAATGAGCAATGTATGTGAGAGAAAACCAATGCTGTAGAACATATTGGAACACACAAGTCATAGTTTTCTGTTTTACAAAGGAAAGATTGGGTAGTGTTGAGAGAAGACCATAAAGTTATGCTGTAATGCCTAAACATGACCAGAAAAATAGAGCTAAGTATTCTTTCCTCTTTCCTTCCTTGACACTTACTAGGCACTGAACATTAAATTACTTCTAATTAAAGTACTTCACCATGTAGGATAATTTTATTTACATTTGGTAAATGCAAATGAATGTAATAAACCATACATAAATAGGCTCTAATACTATATAACTCATTACTTCACAAGATAGAATCATATAGATAAGAGAATTGAGGAGAAGAAAATCATTGGGTGAATTGTGGAGATATAGAAATAAAAGCCAGAAATTGTTACCTAAGCATTCTGTTTAATTTTTGATAATCAATTTCAGTGCTGTACTTCTATGATCCACTAATTCCATTGTGACAAACCTTCTCATACAAGTTGGTAAGGAATATTCAACCTGTCTAACCTGGAGGGAAAATGCAATCACAACATAACTAAACATATGTTTTAAAGAATAAATCATTTTTAAACTAAGACATTGCCACATCGTAAGTCCACTAGAAGGAAAGTGTATGAGTTTTCATGCAGCATCAATACTATGACTGTGATAGTCAAGGAGGAAGAGTATATCTGAGAAATAAGTCAATGTAAAAGAAATTTGAACCTGATTGTATTGTATTACCAGAGTTTCTGAAATTTGGTGAAATCTCCCATCTATCTATCAGAGAATTCACATTCTGAGTGAGCATCTCTGGGATTCTGCATTTGTCCTCAGGTGATGTAGATGCTGATTGTGATCCAACCACCCACTAAAGATCATGTACAAAGATAGATATGAACAACCACTATCTGATGGTTAAACATGTAATAGGACCACAATAAAGAACAAATCATCTAGAGGTCAGAGTATATTCATAGAAACCAGGAAAACTGCAAAGAGATAAGGGGGGGGACCAGAAATGATTGTCTGCACATTCTGCTTAATTTTTGAACTTCTGTGATCCATTATTTCTATTTTGTAGTTTACAAACCTTCTCATACTAGTTGGTAAGGGTTATTCAACCTGGGTAACCGGGAGAGAAAATATAACCACACCACAAACAAACATACGTTTGAAAGAATGAAATGTCCTTCTAGTGTAACTCTAAGCTGATCAATTCAAAACGTTCCTTGATGACAGAACTATGTTTTCCTGCTACTCTTATGACTACATGGGCATCTTAGGTCGAAGAAGCTGGGCTCCTAGAACAAAACACATATACACTCTGTCTTTGTAGAAAATTTTTAAGTGAATTTAAAATTGCAAAGTGAATTTAATGAACTTAACCATGACTTTATTATCCCATTTCACATAGTTTCTTAAAGAAATAATCAAGCATATAGTTTTGCTCCTTCGGCAAGAATTGTGTAGTGAATGGACACAGACAGTTTTACATCTTAAATATTCAGGACTATTGTCTCAATTCAAGTCTGTACCATCTATATTTAGAAATGAGGAAAACATGGCAGCAGGAATGGACGGCATGGTGGCCGGAGTAGAGGCTGGATATTCACACTATCTGCACTCAGGAAGAAAAGGGTGGCATTTGGGGTATAAAGGCCAAGACCCACCCCAGGGATCTATTTCATTCAGCAAGAAACCACCTCCTAAGGCATCTCTAACCTCCCCAGCCACTGCCAGGAGCACAGGACCAAGTGTTGAAACACTTCAGGACATTTTACCCTCCAATCACAACACATCCATTGTTTTTAGATGTAGTCATGATGAATAAAGATTTGCCACAGAAGCCTGGTCACAAAAGAAGAACATAGTCCAGAAAAGGTCAAACATCTTTTCATGTGTAAGGAAAATGGAATAGCCATTTTTGTGAAGGTAACTCAGGACATTTGAACATTTTCTCTTTTAAAAATGTTTTTAATGGAAATAGAATTATATCACATTGCCCAACGCTCCTCCCTCTAGTCCCTCCCAGACACCTTTCCTCCAAACACCTTCCAAGTGCCCCCCAAGTTGATAGACTCTTTTTCTTTAATTGTTATTGTTTCATATGTGTGTGTGTGTGTGCGCATATATAAATACAAATTGCATATTCCCTTTTTATTGTTTGTGTGTATATGGTTTCAGGGCTGTTTTTGTTTGTTTTTTTAGAGTTAAAATCATAAAGCACATTATGAACCAAAGTGTTTCCTTGACATTTAAAATTTTTATAATTTATATTGTTTTATATTTTTTCATATATACTCAGTACATGAATTTATAAGTGAATCCTTGGAATTACATTCCTTAAACCTATTAACATCAAATGTCTTTCCAAGTGACATATTGAAATTCTATGTAATTACATAACTAACAGTACGCTGAGTAAGTATTCGACAAATATTAATGATCATTTAAACTTTTAAGACAATAGCCGGGCGGTGGTGGCGCACGCCTTTAATCCCAGCACTCGGGAGGCAGAGCCAGGTGGATCTCTGTGAGTTCGAGGCCAGCCTGGGCTACCAAGTGAGTTCCAGGAAAGGCGCAAAGCTACACAGAGAAACCCTGTCTCGAAAAACCAAAAAAAAAAAAAATAAATTAAAAAAAAATAAAAAAGACAATATAAATTCAAGTTTTATTGTTAGCACTTTAAGACCTTTTATTATTTATTATATCACATTGTATATATTTCTGTTTATTGTGGCTTTACTTTTCTCCACCACTTCGTTATAGTAGAGTTAATGTGTGTATTCCTCAGCAGAACCGGTGGCTGAAGCAACATCAGAAGAGGAAGAAAGTGAGGCTGGCAGAGACAGCACCCAGGCTTCTGTATGTGGGTTATAATTCTGTATGTGGGTTATAATTATAATTATAATTATATTATAATGAATATAATTATATTCATGGTTATAATTTGGTATGTTTTGGTGCTTTAATGATGTAGCGCAGGTCAATGAAATAGCATTTCAGATTATTGTGTAGAACGATTGATCACAACTTACTATTTAGTTGTAAAATAATTTACTTTGTGACGATTCTGAGGATAGCCTCGAGTCTAAATCAGCTTAGAGATGAACATAATGTTGGAATTTGCTGCCACATTCTGATGATTATCTATACCGCCATTTGTACAACCACCTCAACTTGATAAAATGTGAAGATGCAAATCGTATCTGATGGGAAATCATTTGAAGATGTTGACCAGACAATATTGTGGCTTGTGAACCAGACTCATGTAGAGTGTGATCACTTCAGTGACTAAAATTTGACTTTTCATGTGACTTTGTCAGTCTGTGTAAGTCAGAAGATAAACGACAGAATCTATTCAGAGAATGTCCACTTGCAGAATGGGACATTTCGTTAGTAGCATATAATTTTTTTTTCTGAATTATCCACTGTAGCTAGAGTTTTCCTGCCTTGCCCACAGTCAGGACAAATCTTTGTCACCTGCCAGTCCCACAGCCGCTCAGACCCAACCAAGTAAACACAGAGACTTATATTGCTTCAAACTGTATGGCTGTGGCAGGCTTCTTGCTAACTGTTCTTATGTCTTAAATTAATCCATTTCCATAAATCTATACCTGCCACGTGCCTCGTGGCTTACCGGTACTTTACATTTTCCTTGTCCTGGCAGCGGCTCCAGGCAGTCTCCTTCTGCCTTCCTGTTCTTTTATTTCTCTTCTCTGTTAGTTCTGCCTATACTTCCTGCCTAGCTACGGCCAATCAGGTTTTATTTATTGACCAATCAGAGCAACTTGACATACAGACCATTCCCCAGCACAGCCAAGTGCAGACCATCTCAGACACCTGCACTCAGGCCCGTGGTCCTAATCATTCTCTATGCGGACCTGCTGGGTAAAGCCACGAGGAACCCAACAACAGGCTCCCACAGGACATACAGAGCATCCCACAGCAATCTACACTTCAATGAATCAAATTAGGAAATGCCAAAAATAAAATATTGTGCTTGTTCTTAGTGGAAATTATAATGGACTTATATATAATTCATATTATTGCCCTGTACTATGAAGACTTCACATTTCAAAAAAAAAAAAAAAAACTTTTAACAAACATATGCTATGAGAATATTCTCACTAATACTTGAGGTAAGCAGAGAGGTGCTTTATACATTTTAAAATTCCATACATTTCTCCCATTTTATACTCTATGATAAGAGAGGCAAACAGAGAGGATTCCACACAAGATTCCCTATAACATGGTTACAGAAGAATAAAACAGGTAAACAGGAAACATTTGTAAATCATAATACATGCCTGAGTGTAGAAAACAAAACAATACTGTTAGTGTAGTTATCTAGTCAGAGTAGAACTCCCTGAGGATGAAATTAAAGATCAACCTTATAATGAGAGCACGTCAATCAAGTTATCACTGAAGCGTGCTACATAGGACATAGAGTACAATGCATAACATCTCTTCACCATTAGGTTTTTGAATTACTAAGATGTAAAGAAAGGCACACATATCATTTTAGTCACTTTTGTAACATGTAGACTTAAAAATGGGCAAATGAATAGCTGTTATACTTCATACATACTCTTATGCTCCTCTTCTTACTGAAACTTGTTTTACACCCTTCAAATTCTCTTTCATTTGGGACACGGTATCATTTCATACTGATATTTGCACATCATACAGCACAGTCTAACATCAATTCTCTTTAGTACTTTCTAACTTTCATTCTGGTATTTTTTCATATTATTTAAATATTACAATTAATACTTTGGTTTTCTAGCCCCTGTTTGCCTAGAAGAAACTGCTAGTACAACTTTCTCTACATATGTAACATGACATACAGCCAAAGTTCTTATTAGCCACATATGCCCCTCTTCCTTCAATATGTCATGTCAGTGAAATTATTGATAGTTATTAATAGTCTATTATAGAATTAATATTCTGTTCTATTCTACTCTTATGTAAATCTTTAATACATGTTTACTGATTTAATACACATTTAAAATTATCTTAGTTATCTAGGGAATACAATACAGATATTGATAATCAAACTTTTTTCACTATTGATATATTTTTGATAGCTACGATTTTATGTCTGTGAAAATGTTTGTGATGGCTTCCCATGGTTTAATTTATGTAGTCAGCAGTCCTAAGAAGACAACCGAGAAACTTGATATGGGTTACCTATATGAGATTCTCTACTGAAATGATGTTGTTTCAGATGCATTCTCTTAATTTCCAGTCTCATTCTTTTTCAATAAGAAATTTACATGTGCTCTATAAGTGATTGGAAATTTAGTACAATTCACTTTTGATATTCCTTCTAACAGAGTGTTTCTGAGACTTATGGACTAAAGAAGATTTGGGGTTATTTACAGAGGACACCAGACCAACGAACACAAACTATGGCAACTGGAGAAATGAATGGTAAGGACTATGTTAATGTAAAGCCCATTATTGGGACTGAGGAAGTATCCCAATAGCAGAGATCTGAGTCCAGTGCCAAGTCCCGCCAAAAGAACCCTGTTGGGTGGAATACTCCTTCTAAGTCAGGACAACTAATGCGTTCTAATAGCCGAAGAAATTCACTATTTCATGTGTAGTAAGTTAGAAGAGGAGCTGAGCGACAGTAAGAAGTATATAAATGGGACATGTATATCACTCTCCCTCCCCAGGCTCAAAGAATGTCACTGAAGAGGGGACAGAAAGACTGTGAGAGCCTGAGGTCAGGGAGGACTGCTGTGTCTTCTGGACATGACAGAGCAATTGTATACAAAAGTTACAGTATCCGAGGTTGCCTGCACTAGATCTACATGTCAAGCCAGTTAACATTTCCACCTGGATGGGGTTATATGAGGCCCCGTCACTAGCTGAGGAGTTAACTGGAAGTTGATGGCTTCTGTGAAAGGGAGAATAATTTTGTTTAGAGGTGTGGCTCTTGGTAGTTTGTCCACGTTCCAGTGGATGGCTCTGCACTCGTGTGCATATGGGCATTAATATTTTGACTCTACAGGTTATAAAAAGAAAAGGACATGAAGTTCGGCAGGGGTAAGCTTAATGGAGAGTTTGCAGGAATTGGGGAGGGAAGTTGATGGCAGATATATATAAAAAAAAAACACTGTACATATGTATGAAATTCTTGAAAACCACTTTCAAATAAAAATAATCAAAAGGAAATGTATCATTCACTTCTGCAAAACTGGAAATTGATTGTTGTTAAGCAGCTGAACTATTGAATAAATTTCCAGGTATCCTAATATTGGCGGAGTAGCAAAGCAAAATGAAATCCAGAGTAGACAGGTCATGAGTAATAAGTTTTTGATCACAGGAAATAAATAATAACCAAGGCAAGACTGTAGAGGGGAGTATGTGAAAATAATGAAATTTTTAGAAAATGAAAGATGAGGTACTTCACAAGCCTGAGTACAAATGGATCTAGTAACTAACTGTGTCACAAAAGTAGAGCAACATTTTCCTTTGCTTTTCCTCCTGCACTGTTGGGAGGGCCTTAAGAAATATTTACTTTGTTCTGTACACCTGTGTTTTGTTTTCCTTGCGTAAATGGAGACACAGATGCTGAGTTATACTGAAGGGATTCCGTGTCATCCTCCTCTCTTCTCTTCAGTGAACACTTTAGATAGTAGGATAAGTATTCAGAGAGGGAAGGCCGTCTCCACGAAATTAGAGACAAACTTTAAAAATATTTCTATCTTCACACATAATGACAAAAACAATAATTTTGATCTCCTGTACCTAAGGTTCAGGGATCATTGTGGAAGAGTGGGTAGAAAAATTGAAAGAGCCAGAGGTCAAGGAGTTTGTTATGATACTATATCTCATACAAGTGCCAGAAGCTACACTCAGGAAGTCTCATAAACAGGGCTCCCTAAGCATGAGCTGACCCAGGTCACCACCAATAGACATGCTAATGTGGACTGAAGAAAGCTCATGAGGCCTCAACCCTACACAAAGGACCATAGGCAACTAAGGAATTCTGAGAGTGAGAAAAACAGTCTTCTCCAGAGGAAGAGTACACCAATTGGTATCCAACACCATATGGTCAGTCCTAAAAATACACACATCTAGGCAGGTTGTATTTATGAGTATATGAATACATACATAAACATGCATACACATATGTCACACATACACAATCACTTATATGCATGTAATAACAAAGAAAAAGTGTCCTTGTATTTGAGAGAGAGCAAAGGAGGTACGTGGGAAGACCTAGAGGAATGCAAGGGAAGGCGGAAATAATGTAATTACATTATAATCTAAAAAATTATTTAGGAAAAAATAGTTTTGATAGTCATAATGCATATTGTTTAGATATTTCTATTGTGATGTTGAGATCAATGAGCATTGTAACTGTGAATTCATCGGTGCTATTGTTCATTGATGTCAAGCTGATGAATTTGCAGGTGAATCTTTTGGACCATTTTATTCATTTAGCATTGGGCAAACTTGGGCTTGTCCAAGTGAATATCTATCTATCTATCTATCTATCTATCTATCTATCTATCTATCTATCTATCTATCTATCTATCTATCAAGTTTTGCAAAATTACAACAATCTCATAAAACTTACTTCTTCAATCAACGATTAAAGGAAATTAACCTATTGACTGAGAAAATAAAAGTTTAGATTTTAAATTTAAATTAGTATAAACATCTTTATTTTTATAGAACCTTCATTTTTCCTACCATTTCATTGTAGTTCATTTTAATTAAATATGTGTTCATTTGCTAGCAGAAATGAAAGAAGTTACATCAAGAGATGAGCAAAGCAAACATGAAAGCAGTACAAGCGATCACTCGTGGGTATGAAAATATTATTTTTCCTTTGATGGAAAATAGATTTTTTTCTCCTATATTACATTCTGGTTATAGTTTCCCTCCCTAACTCCTCTCAGTGCCTCTCCAATTTCCTCACATCTGGATCCATTCCCTTTCTGTCTCTTATTAGCAAACAAACAGGTCTCTAAGGGACATATTAAAATAAAATAAAATTATAAAACAAAAACTAACACTTTGGAATGGGATAAAACCAGCAAACAGAAGAAAAAGAACCCAAGAGAGGGCACAAGAAGCAGTTACTCACTCGTTTGCACACTCAGGAATCCCACAAAGCACCAAACTGAAAGACACACACACACACACACACACACACACACACACACACACACACACACACAGGACCTTGTGCACACCTGCACACCCATGCAGGTGCTATACATGTTGCCTCCATCTCTGTGAGTTCATATAGGGATTGAGCATGTGGATTTAGAGGACTTCGTTTTCCTGGCAGCCTCCATTCCATCTGGTCTTAACATTCTTTCTTCCTCCAGTTTAGCAGGGTTCCCTGAGCCTGAGTCAGGGAGGGACTTGATGGAGACAATCCATTTAGGGCTGAGTGTTCCAGGATCTCTCACTCACTGAGAGTCTGGCTGTGGGTCTCTGTATTTGTTCCCATCTGTTGCAGGAGGAAGCTTCTCTGATGAAGGCTGAGGAACACCCTGATCTATGAGTATAGCAGAAAGTCATTAGGAGTCAATTTATTGATTTTTTTTTTTTTTACAGCAGTTGTATTTGGTTTTACTCTAGGTTCCTGGGATATCTAGTTCAAAGTTGTTGTTGGTCACCCAAGCAGTGTTGGGTATGGGTTCTATCTCCAGGAGTGGGCCTTATGTAAAATCAGAAAGTGGCTGGTTACTGCCACAGAATTTGTGCCACTATTGCACTGGCACATCTTGCAGGCAGGACACCATTTTTTATCAAAGGTTTTGTGGCTGGGTTGGTGTTACGTTTCTCTTTTGATAGATTGGAGAGTACCTTCCTGTACCAAAGACACTAGAATATAGTAGTAAAGGCCTTATGTAGGCATGATCCAGACATCTCCACGATCAATAGGTGTTGTCTTCAGCATGGGTCTTGGGTACACAAATATGGAAACTGAAAGCTTTTATTTAGCACATTGGTTTAGCAAGATACCATGGAAAAATAAAATAACATGGTAGATTATTCTATGTAACACTTGACCACAATTTGATTTAGTAGGTGTAAGGTACTTTAGTTCCTTATAATTCTTAGAATATTCTGAGAGTCTTCTTGTATTTAAAAGTAAACATCATCTTTGTTTTGTTGCAAAAGATTTTTCTGAAAATTGCCTAAATCCACATATATTCAAACTCCATAACATACCAAAAAGTTAAGAATCAAATACAGTCTCATGAACAAGCAGATAATTAAATCACTTCTTGTCTCATATCCTCTTCTCTTTTCAAAGTAACATCTCATTGAAATTATTAACTGGTTAGTTCTTCTCTGTCCATCCATCCATTGTACTAACCAGAGTTAGTTTCAGTTTGTTATTCTTACAAAGATCCACTTATTCCTCTGGGAGCTGAATGTTGAGTTTGGTGTACCAAAGTATTTTCCTTGTTCACCGCTTCTGTTTATTCGTCACTGTCATTACGAAATTTACTGGTGACACACAAGAAAGTCTAAGTATGAAACACAGAAGACTCTAAATATAGAGGGTCTGTAGCATTTTTACATAATATATAGTAAATATCTGTTTAGTTCATAGGACAGATGTTGAACTTTGGTTTGAAAAGTAGATGGTACAACACAAGTCCATGACAGAGTTCATTTTACATGGCCATGTTAACACCAATTCCTCCATCAACGAAAATGGGGATATCATTTAATTGAGAGATTTGACATGAGATTTAATATGAGAGTATGCATTTTAATTTCTGTTGAGAGAACCATTTTTATTGTAATTATAAGATGACCACACTATTTTACCACCAGGATATAAAAGGAAACACAATTTTATTTTGCTAATTTTTTTTGACAATGGTAGTAGATTCTCATTAACCTTTATTTTTGGTTCTACAATGCTCCTAACTGTATTCATTTATGAGTTGTTTTGTTATAAATGGGAGTTGAACACATTTGTAGTGGTGACTTTAATTTGAAAATAATATAAATTAATTTTGGCATTTATTTTTATGAGGGATAGTTCCTAAATGTGGACATATGCAATATAATCATTTTCGCAATCACCAACAAATAGTCTTAAGCAAATCCTTACTTATTGACATATACTTAACAAGCACTCTTGTTTCTATGACAATGTTTTTCTGGGCTTCCATGTTCAGTTTTCATTGTTAGTGACTATGTGAAGACAAAGTTACTTGGTTTAAATAATGTATATGCACCCTGTTCAAATGACATGAACCGCAACACATACTTTCTTCATTTTCTAGCTTCCAAGTTTTTGAAATAAGGTATTCAGATTTTCTTAGAAATGAAAAGGGTATGTTATGTTACTCATTTTTAATATTGCTTTTAACAGACCACCTCAGATCCTCTACCACAGAAAGTAGATGTGAGTCACTTAGCTAGAAGCAGAGATCAGAGAGGAGAAAATACAGCCAGAGAAGAACTGAAAGGTAAATTCCATATTTTATAAATAACCTTTAAAGAAATGTTTATATAAATCAGGAAGACTAATACAAGCATGCTGGACACAAATATATTTACCTATTTCTCGTACAGTAATAAAATGATAATCAGAATGGTGTGTAATATACTCTCTTGAGTGTGACACTAAAGCAGCTGAATTATTAAATAGATTACAAAGCACCATAATATCTTAGGAGTAGAAAGACACAAGGAAATGGAGAGAATACATGATGATAAATGGCAAGAAATTTATTTAGTATAGGGAGTAACATAAACTGAGGAGGGTGTATACAGAGATGTGGGCAAAATTACTGAACTCCTTCAAGAAGTAAATGTTAGGAGATAAGTATTATAAGTATATAAACTCCTGTCTGTTACCTCACTGTGCCTAGGCAGCAGAAGCACACACTTCCATTCCTTTTCTTCTCCTCCCTCTTGGAACAGAATTGGGCATTGTAGTTCTCCATCACACAGACCCATGTTCAATATTCCTCAGGTAAACAAAAAACATAGGTGGTCATTTGTACAAGATTAGAAATTAATATCCTACACTGTGCTACTACTTAGTGTCATATGTGATAACATATGAGAACTTGAGAAAGAACAGACTGAGTTGTGAGGTGGTCAGCCTATCAAGACCAACTCAAATATCCATTTGGAAATATATGAAATTTTCTTCAGTTTTAATCTTGTAGACATGAGAACAAGGGACAGTCAAAAGGTTTTTAAAAGACAATTTGAAGATAAAAGAATTATAAAGATAATTGCATATTGACCATGGATTCTTAAATTTGTTGAATCTCTGTGATAAAATTGACATTGGAAATTTGCGGCTCTAGAATTCTGTATTTGTCACTGGTCAATCAAGAGACCTCTGGCCAAATACATAGTTTCGGAGGCATGGTCATCCAAGTTCCATGTAGAGGACCATTAGATGATGGTGTGACACATCACAACGCAAAGAAGGACAATTGCTGATGAATCTGGGCATGACTCTAGATAAGAGGAGAGTTCCAGAGTGACAAAGAATAAAGTATTTTCATCTTGTATTGGAATCAGCCTATTAATTCCCCATGATATAAATTATTCTGTTATTCTGATTGTATTGATCCTTTAATCCCAGCTCTGGGGAGGTAGAGACAAAAAGATAATACAAAAGTAACATGAATTTTATAAATGTGTAATCCTTGATTAGGTAGTTGTTGTTGGTTAGGTAGTTGTCCTTGATTAGGTAGTTGTCCTTGGTTAGGCAGTGGTCCTTGGTTAGGCAGTTGTCCTTGGTTAGGTAGTTGTCCTTGGTTAGGCAGTTGTCCTTGGTTAGGTAGTTGCTTCATTAAACAAAGCCATTGAGGACAAACTCAATATATGAAACCAACATAATTTTTTAGGACAGGTCATTAAAATATTTATCTCCCAGGTCATAGAATTGCTGTCATGGGTTGAACTGCACCTACTTACAAAGAACTGATGACTATGTGATAACTCATTTTATTTTATTTTTATTCATGCTCTCTTTCCTGCGTCAGCATGGGTGTGTGTGTGTGTGTGTGTGTGTGTGTGTGTGTGTGTGTGTGTGTGCGCGTGCATATTTGTATGTATTTTCTGTCTACATGTGAGCAATTGTATGGGAGCCAATGTCAACCTCAGATGTTGTTTTTTGCTGTTTTGTTTTGTTTTGTTTTTTCACCAGAACATGGAGATCCATGTTAGGCTAAGCTGGCTGGCCAGTGAGCCTGAGGCATCCTCATGTTCTATCTCCTCAGTGAAGACATCAGATAGCAAGCTGAGTCTTAAAAGAGGACAAGAATGGTGTCACCAAACTGTACAAAACCTTTCTGAATATCTGTGTTCACACATGGGTAAAACAATAATTTTTATAACGAAAATAACCGTTGTTCAAACCTTTCTTTTCTTCCTCTTGTGTGCACTACTGTTTGTGTGCACATATGCCACAGTTCTTATGTGGAGGTCAGATGATAGCTTGTGGAGGTCAATACTTTGCTTCCCTGGGATTGAAGTCAGGTGATAGGCTGGGTGGCAAGTGTCATGACTTGTTGAGCCATCTTGCCAGTCCCAATTAATAATTTTTATGACAATGAAAACAGCATACACTGAGGTTGAATACTTTTTCTTAGCATTTATACATTTAAATTGATTTAATAAATTTATTGGTTGTAATATTAAGGCAACTCCACGTAGTTAAAAAGGAGGTTTATTTTGTGGAGTAACTTACAAGTAAAGGGATAGGTTAGAGGGTCCAGGAGAGGTGAAGCACAGTCTAGCAGTGTTCTCTGGAGAACTCTGCTAGGTCTACATTCAGCATCCAGGATCCAGGAACCAAGAGAGCCAGCACATCTGGATCTTTGGTCTTCAGGGCTCCTGTCTCCATCCCGCCTTGTAGGCATGACAGTTACTGAAGCCTCAATGGGGGTAGTACTTCCAGGTCAAAGCTGAAACAGCTACCCACTACATAAATTTCTGGATGAATCTTTGAAATCATTATATTCCTTGTACCCAGAGCAAACTATAGTTTGTATAAATTAAATGTACACACATATATGTATATCACATATATATGGATAGTCTATATTTCAATTTCCATATTTCAAATTCTATAATTACAAGTATTTCTCAGAATTACATCTTCAACTACAGATTAAGGGTAACTAAAACAATTCCTTGAGAGAATAAAAGTTCAAATTTTAGCTAAGTTTAAACAATATTTCTTTTCATATATGTTCATGCTATGTAATTTTGTTATATTTTGTTATGTTTTATTGTATTTAAATATATGTCCTTGTCATTATTATCAGGCAATGAAGTAACATCCATAGAAAAGTACAGAAGGCTTGATAGCAGTGAAAGTATAGAATCACTGGTATGTAACTATTTATTAAAGGACCTTATTTAACACTGCTTTCTTTTGTTTTGCTAATTGTCACACACAAAATTATATGTCTGGTTATTCAATAGAATAATTGGTCACAAATTGTTTAATTTAAAAAATATTTATCTTATTGTAATTGTTCAAATCAATCTGCAGTAGTTAAGAGATACACTTTATCTTATCATCTACTGCCAAATATCATCATAGAAATTACCTGTGCTTCCAAGTATATGAATTCTGTATCACACTAAAGGGATATATATGTATACACACACACACACACACACACACACACACACACACACACACACACACACAAAACCATTAAGGCTTATGAGTAAGCATTTGGAATTTTGAACAAGATATTGGGATGGTCACAAAACTAGAGAGATATTTTAACGGAATTTTCCCAAGGGCCTGCCCTGAGAAAATCCCTCCCAGGGTCCTGGGGAAGATGCTACATCTGACATGGGGTTATCTGAGGGAATAGAATCTATGTACTCCATGCTCTTTTGTCTGTTTATTTCTCTAAGACAAAATCCTATATATACAGCTTCGGCTCCATCCTCACATACAGCTCCTCTCTGTACCTACTGCCCTGTTATAGTCCTAACTAAGCTCCTATGCTTTTGACCTTTTTGTCTGTTCCTTCATCCTCCATCTTTCCTTCCCTGCTCCTTACCACTGCTCTGAGAAACTCTGCCTCCTTCTCTTCTCCCTGGGCAGAAGGCTGTGTCTACCATCTGCAGAAACTGCCTTGTCCTTTCTCTCCCAGCCATGTGACTATGCTCTGGCCAGGAATCCCACCCCACCCTTCACTAAACCTGGATATACACCTCCTTTTTCTGGGTCAGTTGCTCTGGAATGCCGTTTTCCCTGTCTGGGGAAGAGAGCTCTGAACTTCATCTGCATAAGAAACGAAGCCATGCATCTACAGCCTGCCTGTCTCCTAGGCCCTGCAGGGATGTTTCCTAGTGGGTCAGCAGTAGGTCTGAGAAGCTAAACTGTTTGCCATATAGCCTAGTAGTATATGGGCACACAAGAATTTCAAAGCAGAAGACAGCTGATATATAGTAATAAGCTTAAGAACACCAAATATTCCTTGATAAATGGCTTCCTCTTGAAGGATTCCTTGGCTAGTCAAGGTATAGCTTATTACATACAGCTGAATCTCTATGATATATTCTTGTAGCCCACTGCAGTATTAAACTATGATCGTTATAGTGGGTCAGTAATCATGTTTTCAAATCAACAGTCAGTAATATTAACTTTAGAGTTGCAATCCCTTAATGTTTTCTTAATGAGTCTATCTAGCAATATAGAATGTAGGGTCATACAACTTACTGCAGTGCCCACTAAGAGTATATACATTTTCAACATGGAGGCGTGTTTGTGCTAACTCATAAGGGTACCTGATGATTAATCTCCACCTAAAGTCTGTAGAGTAACAAATTTTATAAAGTTCCTATGCCCTGCCATTAGCAGACCTGAGGATGATCTTAGCACAGATGGTTTATCTTGGTTTGCATATCCATGCAGATTCATTTTCAGAAAACTTTTAATATCCAGGTACCGTTTTAACATTCCCACTAGGCTTGGGATACTCCATACTACATATCAAATGTTTTGACTTTGAATATATTGCTACTATTTATTGCCTATCTACTGCATGGTAGACGTTAAATAGGTAACTCAGATAAGCACCCCTGACACCTGTAGAGGAGTGCAGAGCTAGTAAGATGTAAACATGACAAGATGTTTGACTATCAAGAGAGTCTGTAGTTACACTCAGTTGGGTTTGGGGTGAAATCCTGTAGTTAGAGTCAATTGTTACTTGTGATATTTAAGCTATACCCTAACAATTGAGGACATGTCAGCCATGCTAATGAATAAGAAGAAAGCCCACTTGCCAAAATGTAATAGGTCACATCTGTTCCTTGGGTGGCTCTTCCATCTAGTGAGTGGCCAAGGAGCAGGGATGAGACAAATATCCTCAGTCATCTTAATACTCAGAATATACAGATAAAAAAAAAAGTGCAAATAGTTGCCTGGCACATTTCAGACACTGAGTGAATTCTTGTGCTTCTTTTCTTACTAGTTGACTTGCCACTCATTCTTAGAAGGTCTCCCTTAGTTGTGTTTAAGTTGCATATTGTTTCTAAGGTTTACAGAAAATTATAAAAATTTTTAGACCAAATTTAAATTTGGTCCAAAATAAAGTTTCTTACCGTTTATGTAAGGTTAGCAGAAAATTATCTTAATTTTTTAGTCCACATCTAAATTTGGTCCAAAATAAAGTTTCTTACAGTTTATGATTTATAATTCATATAGGTTTATAATTCCAATTATTTTCTTATTGTTAAGAGTGTTACAGAAGATACAATTTTTTTTTTTACTAAATTCTTTAGCTTAAATAGGCAATGTACAATGTTGTCCATATAGGCAGTGTGACATATAATTTAACCATTCACTAGTCAAATGCTCTCTTTTCCTCCAACATAAAACACTGTTAATAGAAATATTCTAAGTCAGTTACACCCCATTATACCCATTGTATTGATAGGAATTTGTCTCAGTGCATAAATTTTTTCAGTGTGTTCTCATTTCTCAGGAAATTCAATGCAGATTTTTGTTTTCTGTATGTATTTTCTTGTTGATAGCTTCTTTGTATTTTCTTTAGTAGGAGCCATTTATTTATCATGATCATTACTAAATGACATTTGGTGACAAAGAAAGCACATTCAGATGCTTTATTCATTTAGGTGTTCTAAATACAAAGAGATTCTTGATCTTGCATGATGTTAATGTTTTTGAATGTACTGGAGAGATATTAAATACTGATTTAAAAGGGTGCATGTTGTAGAACAAAGCCTTATTGAAGCCTCCATTCTACCTGGTCCTCATTAGTGCAGATTCTCCATCTATAAAATGGAGACAGATTTCTGTTAGAAAGTTGATACCTGTAGGAGGCGTGCCCATTTCTGAAGAGAAACAGAGGAGGAATGGGTTATGGGGGTAGGTAGTGGAGGGAAGGTAGGGGAAGAGAATGGAAGGAGAGGAGGGAGGGGAAACTTTAGTTACGATGCAAAATAAATAAATAAATAATAAACAGGAAAAACATCATGTGAACATGTTACAGCATCATATAGTATGATTTTATCTTTTTATGATAACATTAAAATTTTGATAATGAATTTATATTTTCAGCATAGGAAATGAGATTCACACTTTTTTTTGTTTGTTGTCATGGAAATATTAGATTTCTCAGGATCTTTACCTTTGTAGTGGCATGTTCTCCTCACCATTTATATTCATTTGCTAGCTGCTTTGTTAAAGATTGGAGTATAATCATGTGCTCTGCTTATTTTAATTTGGAAAAAATACATATGTTCTTTAGAATATTTTCATAAGTTAAAGGAATTATTTGCATATATAAGTGAGTTCAATTTTTATTTTTAAGTATTAGTATAAATATATTCAATCATGTCTTACACACTACCATATACTTGACACTTACTACTATTCTTTCTATGAAAATGGTCTTCATGGCTTATTATGTTCTTGTTTTATATTATCCAAAAGAAGTCAAAAGCTGGAATTGATAGATAATGTATATTAACATTTCTGTACAAATGACATGTAGCAAAATAAAATCTTTCATTAATTTATAGTCTTTGCTTTTAAAATGAGAAGCTGTGGTTTCTTGGAATGTAAGAATTCTTTTTTTATGTTGGTATTCCCAGCCTACGGCTGAGTCTCCTCTGCAGAGGCAAGATGTGGGTCATTTACCAGAGACTGACGATCCAAGAAGAGAAACTACTGGAAATGGTGAAATGAAAGGTATGAATTATACTTTATTAGCAGCCTGCTGATGGAATATGTATTTAAATCATGACAATCAGTTCCATAGCAGACATATTTTTACTTATTAATTATATAGTAAGTTAAAAGAGAAGCTAAATGGTAGGAAGATTTATAGCTATTCCTGGTTTAGCAATTCCTGTAATTGATTGTGCCAGTAATGTAGAAGAATTTTTGAATAAGTTATAAGAAATGGTACTATCAGAGGGGTGGTTAGATATAGTGAATGAAGAGAAAACAGGGAAATGATAGAAGGGAATGTTCCGAGTGCAGTAACAGAAGCCAGGGCAGGGGTGTATTGTGGTTAGAAATGCATCCCTTGGCCTCTTACTTTCCATACTTGGTCCCCATCTGGTGGCACTGTCTGGAAATGCTGTCACTCTCTTGGAGGTGAGACTCTATTGGATAAAGTGGGTCACTGAAGACATGCTGTGATGTTTTTTGGCCCATCAACACCTGCTTCTATGCTCTGCTTGCAGACTGTGGGTCGGATGTGGCTTTCTGATCCCCTGCTCCTGCTGCAGAAAGAGCCGAAAGCCATCATCCAGACTAAATCCTTCTTTTGTCAAACTCTTCCTTGCCATGTATTTTTTGTCCAGCCATGAGAAAAGTAGCTAATATAGAATGTACAGAGGAGTGTATGAAAATCCTTTAAAATTAACAATGGCACATTGATAATGTTTGAAGAAGAAATATTATTCTAAGGTGTAACTGGGTATTGAAAGTACAAAAGAGAATGCCATTAATTCCTTCTTTCATACCATGGCGATGGCATTATGTATCATAGTACTCCATCATGAAGACACATGTTTTATTTACCTAATGTGCATAGAAACAAAGTTATAAGTCATATGTGAAAAGAAATCAATAAAATACAAAAGGTTGCTCTCGGGATAATAAATTACTCAGAAGGAGAGAAATGTGGAGAAAGAACCCCCAGGTTCGTCTGTGCAGTGCCAATGGAAGTCATGGCCAGTTCACGTAGCCACTCTGAAATGTATGTCTTGAGGTAGTTTTGCAAGCATGACAACAGGAATAGAAGAATGGGTAATATTATAGAAAGGAAAACTGAAGTTATAGATTCAGGACATCGACAATAGATTTTTCAATTTGTTGAATAATCTCTGTTGTACCATGATTCAATGGCTCTGGGATTATGGGTTTATCTTTTGTTGTAAGAGGTACCTGATCTACCAAGCCTGAGGAGCAGTTATTTAACTTCTGTACAATGGTCCACTGTCTACTAGGTCAATACACAGCCAAAACAAGTGAAGGCTTGCTTCTGTTTCCAGTGAACAAGTAATTTGCAAAGAGACGAAGAATAAAAATTTTAGTTTCTTGTGGAGTCAGCATATGATAGTTTATGTAAGGAAATGAATCCATATTTCTAATTTTATAATACAAAGATATTACTGCTAAATACAAAAGAAGAATGTGACATACGTAACAAAAATTAGCAGAATGAAGTCTATAATTCTATTGGGTATTTGAATTTTAAATGAGATAATGCCATGTGAAGAATACAAACATTAAAAACATTGGAATTTGTGCTGAGGAAACTTGAGTACTTACTTCAGGTAGGTTCATCACTTATGCATCCAACCCAGAGATTCAGTATTCATAGCAGCATAGTTTGATGGAAGCAGCATTAAATTCTAGTATTACAGTGAGCTCATCATTTCAATTCTCTCCAGAACTCTCAGATATTAAATTTTTCATTCAGTCACAAGGATCTGTGTTATGCAGATGATGTCACCACTAATAGAAAGCACTGGCTAGTTGCACATTAATGGAACAGAAATGAACAAAATGTAGCAAAGACCAAGGTGCAATAAAATTATGTGCTTATAAATAATATATACATATATGTAATGATAAAGAAAATACATTAAGTTATTTCTTTTCCAAATCACACAATTGTGGGATGTACTTATTATTCCAATGATTTTGTCTGTAAAAGTGTACAAATACCCACTCAATTTTGATGTTCTATTTCAATGATGAAACCAAATACCTATAAATTTCAATGTGTGGTTTATATATGTATTTGAACGAGTTGATCTAATGACATTAAGGTACCCAATCTGGGGTAAAAAATGTAAATATATCAGCACCCTGTATGTATTTGAATAAAAAAGGATTAATACAGTCATATAACCAAGCAGTCCCAAGTTCATGAAAAATTTCATGGATATAACTGTATTCTACATTTCCTAGATCCAATCCTCATCATGTCTTTATTCTTCCTGAATTACAGAACAAGGGAATGACAATTTGTTATAGTCTGAGAGAATGAGTGCTTCTGATACATTCTAATGAATATATCTTCTTGGGCTGTTTCCATCATCTTTACAGCAGCATACCTTTGCTGACCTGCTTTTGTCCTTATTAGAAACCACGCTTCTCTTCACTTCCCAGCATGTTCAAATCAGTGTATTTGCATTTTACTATGTTCATTAGAATTTCCATCTAACTCTAAAATTCATACTTTTAAATAAGTCAAAACTTTATTATTATTTCTATTAGTTTGCTTTTCTCACCTAAAACTAGGAAAAGAGACAAGCAATTGTCCATGGGGAGCAAAATCTAAGCAATTTCAATGCCCTGAGTTAACTACTAGGGTTCACATCTTTATAAGGTTTGTATCGTTGACACTTTCCTTTGCCTATTTTATATATTACTGACTGTATATCTTTTAGTATTTTTAGACTTCTCAAAGGAAGACCCTTCTCAACTCAAGGTAATAAATGTTATATTGTTCTGTACATAATTGACAACATGTGTTATGCCAAAAATACTCATTAAATTACTTTTCTCAATATCTACACAGCCTACCATTAAAAAGAAAAGTTCATTTCTGAACAGAGAAGTGGCAAAGAGGCATGAAAGGTCATGGGAGTCAGGTAATTTAGTGTATTGATCATTGTGGTAAAAAGTAGTTTAAAATACACGAACTGTTTACCATATTCTCAGTATTAATCGTTGTGCTAAGAAGTGGTTTAAAATATGTGAACTATTTACCGTTTTCTCATTATGCCATCTTTGTTCCCTTAATGTGAGGGAAGAATTTGACACATCCTTGTTGATATTGGTGTTTGAGTAAATGGTATAAAAAAGTCTGAGGGGAAAAAAGATTTTAAAATGTAAGATTATGCAGATATTTTGGTGTATATGGTTCCCCACTCTAGAGTTCAGAGTTTGAAATTCTGTACCACTTGCGAGATTCTCATTGGTTGGTGACTAAGTGTATGTTTTTTGTTTTTTTAAGTTTTACAGCCAATTATTGGAGAAGCAGCCGCCACTGAGCATGCCTGTGTTTTCTGATACTAATGAGATTTGAGTCAAATTCACTTGGCCTTTGTAGTTCAGGTCTATCCTGAAGAATGAAACTATTGCTCAGTGTGTGTGTGTGTGTGTGTGTGCGTGTGCGTGTGCGTGTGCGTGTGCGTGTGCGTGTGTGTGTGTGTGTGTGTGTGTGTGTAGTGAAGACACATTTTCTTTCCTCCTGGGTCTCAAAATCATTTGGGAGTATGCACTCAATCTTTCTTCTATTTTCTTTGCCTTGGCATTCAATGTCTGTGCTGATTCACACTTAAGGTCCCTTGCTACAGATCACACAATTTAATTAAGTATTATAAAGTCATGTGCTATAATGTAACATAGTCTTATATGTGTGAATATTTTCTATTAAGTATCATTTTGTATGTAATTAAGGATTACAAGTTATCTGTTGTGGATGATAGCTAAGCCGCAAATCCCAGTGCCTACCCAGGAGTGATTCCTCAGCTTCTTGCTTTCTATCTCTGTCTACCTCCACCTACTTCCCTTTGAGTGTTAGAAGCAAGAGCTTCCTGTTACAAGCGGGTGTTTTACAGATGGGTGTTTTGTCCCCAGGTTGCCTGGTAATTCTTCAGGTGTCCTTGTACCTCAAAAGGAAGAAACCCAGAACAAGACAACTAAACATGTCACATCACTTCAGAACACTATGAAACACAGAACCAAGCAGTCAGTGACATTTAACAAATAATTGAAGTTCTTTATTCAGCACATTTCCTACAGTGCTTCAAGTACCTAGTGTTCTTTCATTCCTTCACTGTGCTTTTATTTACTTAGTAACAATTATTATAGATTGATGATAAGTATTGACAGTATTAAATTCTGAGTATTTCTGCACCATTTCCAAGAAATGGCTCAAGTCAGTGGTCCTTATTTTGAACATTTCCTAAAATAAATCAATCCTCTAACACATGTCACATCCTGCTGACATCCCTTCTTCTTCCATTTGAACATGGAAATAAAATTAAAATGAATACAGAAATCAAAAACAAATAAATCAAGAAACACTTGACTCCTTATGAGGTTGTGTATAACTCCAACTTTATCTTAACTTCCACTACACTGCTCTACCCCTAATGCGGGCATGACCTTGGGACACTTAAAAAGATATCTAAGTATCCAAACATCTATGATGCTTTAACAATCAAAATTTGGTCAATTCTGTGACCTTGAATTTTGATCTATCTTCCCTTTTCTCTCACGTTCCCAAGCAAGCATTTCCTATTCTCCACAAACTCATATATTTTAGAGTAATTTTAGTCTCCACCTTGTTTCTATTACATTTTTTGTTCCACCTTTCTAGATATTTCAGTACACATGTAAAATTGCCATGGTAACTATCTTTTAAAGAATTTTATCTTCAACTTAACAGTAGAGGTAAATGAATACATTAGATGGAAAGTTTTTAATTTTAAAAAAATTTAAAACTAGCCGGGCGGTGGTGGC